GATTCCTCCACTGTGCTGGACTCAATGATCCATAGGGTCCCTTCCAGCTCTGCAGTTCAAAGGTGGTTTATTATTGTCATTGTCACCGTCATCATCACTTATTATCATCCTGGCCAAAAATAAGAACAAATGCCAATACTACATTAGATCATGATAAATCTTTGAAGACTTGAGTATACACACTACAAAAACGGATAGGAAGGAGGAATGCATGGTGACACTGTAAAAGGTAAGAATACTAACTAAATAAGGTGTGTGTTTTTTCACAAAAGACCAAGAAGTCTTATATGGCTCCTTTGCTTGACACTGTGCAAGTAACCGTTGTTTATAAAAGATTACAGTGTTACAAGAAGAAATATTTGGGAGGAGCACCAGGAACAGTTCACTCTCCATCAGTAGTCAATGTTCTTCAGGCTCTCTTCTTACATCTAGTCAAATGGCTACACAAACTACCTGCAAGCTGGCCAGATAGCTCAGTGGTTTAGCTGAGGATACAGAAGTTGAGAGTTCAATTCCCCACAGCGGGTTGCGCCAGTCTGTATGGTCTTGGGCAAGCTGCATAGTCCCAGGGTGCCCCCAGAAAAAGGGAATAAACCCTGAAAATGGTCATCATAGGTCAGTACTGACTTGACAGCACATGATCAAGGATCTGTCTAAGGTTCGCGGCTGCCCTGCCTCCCTCTGTACAGTTTTCCTCCTCCTCCATGCAGCCACTTTGGTTCCAGTCATGATGGAACCCTGCCCTGCGCCCACAGATGAGAAGTAGCGTGCAAGAGAGGCAAGGCTGAAAATTGTGGAGGGCAGGTTGTCCATGATCATTACTATTACTTAACTACCTGCGAAATGTCTTATGCAGGAGCTTATGCACAGTCAGCAGAGTACAGACCATGCTTTGGGGATAATGGTCTAACTATGACTCTATAGTGAGACTCCCCTTTTTCAGTAAAGCACTGCTAAAACAAGATTATTAGATACTGGCTCGAGCAAGTATCATTTTATCTATGAAAATCCTCTACAACACCATTATGCACATTTTACAAAATATACAGATCTTTTCCCTTACAAGAAAATAAATGTGAAACAGTTAGTAGTAGAGGGTTATCTTGTACTTTAATCCCCATCTCAAGTAAATATAAGACATTGGTTCCATTCTTTGATGCCCTAAAGCCAAAACTAACAACAAAAATCAGATTCACTTACCTAGGACTAATCCCATTAAACAAAATGAGATCTGATGGTTGTTGTGGGTTTTTTGGGTTCTTTGGCCTTGTTCTGAAGGTTGTCCTTCCTGACTGGCCGGCCTCTTCAGAGGACTGGAATAGGAACTCTGTCCATGCTCTGTTGCTGTTTGTTGGATAGTTGAGTATTTATAGCTGTGGGAACAGCTTTTGTTTTTTTTCAGTAGAATGATCAGCGTGTTTTTTGTTGTGATAAGGGGAGAAATTATCTGTTACTGTGATTGATGGGTGTCGTTAGCTGGTTTTTTTGTGCAATGATCCCTGGTCCTTGCGGCTGACGCCAACTCCAGTCCCTACTCCAGTCCTCTGAAGATGCCGGCCACAGAGACTGGCGAAATGTCAGGAAGAACAACCTTCAGAACATGGCCAAAGAACCCGAAAAACCCGCAACAACCATCAGATGCCAGCCGTGAAAGCCTTTGAGAATATATTAAAATGAGATTTCCTTCCCCTCCCTTCAATTCAGGAGAAGCGGACTGGACTAGTAAACAGTTTACAGTTGTAAACAAGACTGCACTGAAAATATGCTGATTTTTTTAAAATGATGACACTTTCAATGCCTGTATAAGGAGCCTCATGATACAGTGCTTAAACCACAGTACTGCGGTAAAGACTGCTCACGATCTGAGTTTCATTTCAATGGGCTCAGCTAGCCAGCTTAAGGTTGACTCAGCCTTCCAAGGCCAGTCATTCCGAGTACCCGGCTTCCCACGGGGGTGGGTTGGGGGGGCTACTGTGTAGCTTGTATAATAAAACTGCAAACCAGAGAGTGCTGTTTAAGGTTGACTCAGCCTTCCAAGGCCAGTATAATAAAACTGTAAACCATCCAGAGAGTGCTGTAAGTGCACAGTTTGCTTTTATTTATTTCAGCTGTTCTGCACCTCTGGGATTACGCTGAGCCACACACTGAAGCCCATACTGGCAATCCTGCTTTCTCTTCATCTTCAATCTCTATTCACATATCAAGCCTTTGAAACCATAAAGAAAGAAAGAATTGAATACCAAGATAGTAGATGTTTGGTGCCACCCATCCACCATATGGTAGCTCTTGCAAGTGGTTAGAGGCTTCATGGTTGCCGCCAATGAAGATAGTTAAGACAGGTGCCTTCTTCTCTCCAGAATAGTACCTGTGAAAACACAATGAAAAGTTCATGGGCTCAATCGCAGTTATTAAGACATATCTGTGTTCACTGGTTCCTTCTGAAAGTCCACCATGGATAAACCCACTGCATCTGGGTAGGGAAGAGCCTTGAGAATTAGACAAAGGATGAGAGGCTGAAAGTCTCCCAAGCTGAGGAGCTGCAAGAAGAGAAGATGTGGTGATCAAAGAAAACTACCTTGTTCAACTATGTATTCTAGCTTCCAATTATTTACGTAAGATTTTAACTTCCATTTAGTTTGAAACTTCTGAAGGGCACCAGGTTGGGGAAGGATAATTTAACTAATTATTGTTCACCTAATCATGTGTTGACTATACACCTCACTCAGTTGGTTACCTGACTGTGGATCCAGAAACCAGGAATTCAATTCCCCACTGTGCCTCCCAGGAGAAGAGGCAGCCTGTGTAGCCTTGAATATGACCCACAATCTCAGCGGGAATAGTAAACCATGTCTGAGAACTTTATCCTGAGAAAAACATGGAAAGGATTGCCATAAATTAGGCATGCATTTGACAGCAACTGGTCCACTGTATCCCTCCAGATGTTTTTTGGCTTCGTCTCCCATAAGTCCTCCATAATGGCTATGCTAGGTAAGTCTGATGGGATCTGTAGGCAACAAAATAACTGGAGATCACAGTTGCCCAACGTGGGGTGCTAAGGATTGAAAATGGGACTTTCTGGATGCAAATCATGTACTGTGCCAACAAGTTATTAGGCATCAGAAAGAAGATGTAGCCCAGATTATGAAAAAACTGGCAGATTCTACCTGTGTTGTGTCTATGTTCTTCGATAATGGTTCTAAAGTTAGAACACAAAAGAAGTGAGAGAATGTCCTGCGTGGCTGCATACAAACTGACTGCAAACAGCAGTATCTCTGAGTAGATACAAGGGTTATTCCCCACACCCACTAGGGAAGTTGCAAGCCATTCCACACAAAAATCTGATTCAAATCTGTATATCAGTCTTGAGCAACAGAAAAGCCAGATGTCAAAAGGAACATCTTCCATCTCTCAGGTCTTATACTTGAAAGACATATTATACATTATTTCCGAGTACCCTTCGGATTCAAAAAGAACCCCCAAAACACTTATTATTCAGAAACTTTACAAATGTTTCATAGACTCAAAGAGATAAATCTATACGCATGTATATGTCGTACCAGCTAGACAGATACATGCACACACAAAGAGATAAATCTATACGCATGTATATGTCTTACCAGCTAGACAGATACATGCACAGACATAGATTGATAGATATTTGGGGGGAAAAAACAAATCCCTCGGCTGTGGTGTGGCGTCGAGGGAACTTAAACTCTGCACATGCTCGAAGGCACTCTCGTCTTTATTATGCCTCATGTCCGTTCGCTCCTCCTTAGCCTTGAAAACGGGTTTCCAGGGCGGAGCAGTAGAAGCTGAAAAGGGGGGGAAAACTAACTTTTTTTTTTTAAAGGGGAACACTCACCGCGCGAACTCTCCCAGCTGCCGGTATTTTGCGGGCACGGCCATGCAGCGCAAGTCGCCAGCGTTACGCACGGCCTGGAAGTCTCCGGCGCAAAGGAGCAGATCCGGCCGCGCTTGGCCGTGCCGCTGCTCCAGGAACTGGAGGGTCTCGTACATTTTGTCCAGCGCGCCATGGCAGCAACCCGCCACCGCCACCTTCATCCTCCGGCTTCTGCGCACGCGCCGTCGCGTTTCCGGGCCCTCTTTTGACGCATGCGGGGTCGGAAAGAAACAAACTGACGGTTCTCGCTTTCGAGGTGCTTCCTGTCTTTCCTGCGCATGCGCCTGAAAAGGGCTCGGGGAGGGAAATGGTTTTCTGTTTGTCTGTTCGTTTTTGGGTGTTTTTTTTTGTCCGTGCGGAACGTTGGGAAGGAGACAGAAGTGTTTTACAGAACAATGTTACAAGTTTTGGAAATTATTTTTATTTTAATCGTCTCCAGTAGTAAAAGTGTACCTTTTGACATACAGGACTTTTGAAAAATTAATAAACATTAGAATCAAATACGTATAAAAGCTCGTTTAGTCTTGAAAGAGGTGCTGTGTATCCCATAACCGGTGGAAACCTATAGTAAAGCCGTCGGGAGCCCATCCTTTTCAAAATATTTCATCTTTGCCTTCAGGCAGTAAAATTGCAAGCCTGCCCTGACAGGATCCTGTGTTGTATAATGAGCAACCATATCCTTCCGAGAATCCCACAAGCAGATAATGTAGACACATCTCTTGTTGTCTGTATCCTTTAATATCCATTTGAATCAGTGGTTCTTCCCACATCTCAGGCCATACATAGAAGTCTGTAAATTACTTGTACCTTGAATTAGAGGTGTAATCGTATGTTTTTAAGCACAGGTGTCATCATACATCCCCTCAACAGAAAACTACAAAAATGCCAACAGCTCTCTCTGTGTGCGCACGCGCACGCATACCTATGTGTGCACACATGGGACATATTTCTGCATATACATGTGCACACACAATTCTCAGCAATATATTATTTCTGGGCCAGTCCATGCCCTCTCTGTCAGCTGCTGTGTTGATGAAGATTGCGGCCTTGGTGGCTAAGAGATTTTGGGACTAGTGGGCAGATGAGAGAAAGGGGGACTGAATGCTGAGTGGTGATCAAAGAAGGTCCTGGCTACAGAGGTGCCAGAATATTGACCTCCTATGGAATGTTCAAGACTAACCTGAAATCAGTTTTTGAAAAGAAATAAGATTGGCATGCCTAGAGTGGTATGCTGACATAACACGATTTGTATTATTTCTTCTTATACTTGTACATGTAGAGGCGCCTTGTAGTCTGAAGTCCTAAATTTTAGCATAAGTTCAGCACTGTATAGGAAAGGATATTAAGCAATTGCTTTGTGGGATGGGAGAAGGGTGTGGCAGATTTGATTATCATGTCAGTTCTTTTTTTTATGGAAACATGACCTTGTTTTCCATGAACTGTGGAAAGAACATAAAATAAACAACAACTGCTACTATTTTCCATGATCTTTAAAAATAACATGTAGTTTGGGATTTGGAGCATGACAACTGCTGCTGCTTACCTCTCTTCCAATTTGTTGATTGCACCATCGCTTGGAACAGACATATCTCCAGCCTTTGCTCTTCTCCTTTGAGGTCACTTACGCAACCTTTAGGAAAATACCAGAGGGAAATTACCCAAACCTATGCTTGAACCTAATTTACCTATGGCCACACCTTCCTGAGCAATTCATAGAGGCAGGATCCAGTAGCAGCAAGTTAAGTATAAACCAGGGCAGTTTATACTTTCTGGCGACCGTGAAGGTGAATGCGTGTTCTCATGTCTTGGCTTGGAGCATGGGGTGGCTACTCATCCAAAATAATAAGATGTCCACTCTGACTACATCTGGACGAGCCTTCTAATGTACAGTGAAATGGCCATTTGTTTCCCTTCTTTTATCCTCTTTCCCTTGATGTCCCTTCGTGTCTCAGGTATGTGCCGTAGTTATAATTGTATCATCCCCATTTGGAAGAATAAGGAAAGCAGGAGGTAAGTGTGGAAAAATAATCTTTTAAAATAACCTGATGGTTTGGGCTACTCCTTAACTGGCAGGCAATTTGGATCATAAGAAGAATCTGTACAGAAAACAATCCTTTTGTGACATTGCATGTTCCATGTGGCTCATCCTAGCTCTGTTCTGTCCTTGCCACCCTTTCTAAAATGCTCTTAAATTGGGACTATTTCTTCTCATCAGTGAAGGGGGAATCACTGGCCCTCAAAAATGTGATTAGATTCCAACTCCCATCATTTACAGGCATCATGATCCAATGGTTAGGGAGAATGGGAATTGTAGCTCAACAACACATCATGGCGTATGGGAAAGTCAAATGCAAGGGAGCATGTAACGGGAGCGGTGTGAAATTGACATATCCTGGGCTTGATTCAGCCATGTTTAGAACTTACATTGACTCCAGATTTTAGATGGAAAATGTGTTTTCATTGCTATTGTTAAATAAGTAGTGCTCTCTAACTTGATATCAGGCAGTTTCTTACACTCTAAGAACTTGAAATGAAACAGAAGAGGGTCAGTAACAAATGCAGGATCGGGAAAGGAAATGAGGGTCATGAATTAGAAACTGTTTCAGCTTCAAATTTAGAAATGCCTTCCTTCTGATGTGCTTTATAAAACACAAAAACGAGAAGGTCCTTTGACATTTGGAAGGCTAAAGAGTGTTGAGTTGATTGTACGGTCATAGACCCAAAAATACAAGGATAAAAACTATATGAAATATACAAAATAAGTAAGATATTAGAAGATAACAGGAATATAAAACTTGAATCATGTGGCTGTCTTAACACAACACTTTACGGATTCTTAAAACTGAGAATAAAAACTTAGCCGCCGACTGTGATATTAATTGGTTCTCTCCGGACAGGAGAAACTTCAGGTAATCTGTGGGAGGTATACTCTGACTAAAGAGTTTTATTTTGCACAAGGCACCAAGAACTGCAGCCTCCTGCATCAAATTGCCCAAAGCCATGGGTGAAGCAAAAATCCGCTGCTAGGTAACTCTTTAATTAGTAACAACCAAAATGTGTGCCAGGACTGACATCACCAGAACTCTTCAATGGACCGGAGGACAAGGAGGATAAGGGGGAAGGGGGGGAATCAGGGGATGGTAGAAGAAATGGAAAGTTAAACATTTGGATCTGATATTGTAAACAGGAGATCTGCAGCAAAGTATCTGTGCACAAAGTGAGTGATTTTTAAAAAGTAAAGTTTGAAAAATGGGGCTAGCAAACAGATGCTATTATTATAGGACAGGCAAAGACAACAAGAGAAGACTTTGCATAGAAACTGTGGTGAAGGGGCCAGAAGGTGACAGGAAGAGACAGGACGTGATGGTATCAAACTGCTTTCCCAACCCAGCTGACACAAAAACTTAGCATTATTTCCAAAGTTTATGACACAATTGCAACGGGCATTCCAAAAACACTGGTTGACAGCCTATGGAAAGTAATCCGGTGAACTACCAGTTGATCCTGTTTGTTACAGCCTTCGGCAAGGACAGCAACCTTTCGGTATCTCTCCGTCTTGATCTACCTTCTGCCCACAGTTCCCTTGGAGTTCTCTGTGAACTCAGACAAAGTTGTTCCAGTTGTTACAAGACATTCTCTGGGTTACACTCATGTACAGGGGTGTAGTGTAGTGGACAGAGCGACAGACTGGGACTCGGGTTCAAATCCCCACTTAGCCATGGAAATTTACTGTGGAGGTAGAATTGGTAAACCCACTCTTTAAATATCTCACCTTACTGTATTAGATATGTGCTTACTGTATTAGATAATACAACGGTAAACCCACTCTTTAAATATCTCACTTACCTTACTGTATTAGATAATACAATAATACTATATTAGAGTTGGTATAATTCACTTTCAGCTTGATGACACATAACATGCACACAGGAGTTCTGCAGAGAATGCTTGGCTCCACCCAGGCAAATCCCAAATGACTTTATTATTTTAGTGGAATACTGATGAGGATTGCCATAAGTAAGAATTTATTTGATGGCATGCAATGAGTTAAACAAATACAGCACCAGGTTTTGGTGATGCCCCCAAACAAGTAATTTAGCTTTAGAGGTTACAGTTATAGCTAGTCAACAAAACAGCGAAGTCCTGACTATTTTTCATACCAAGAGATAATAAGCAACCGGGAGTGAGGAAGGTTTAAAAGTTGATTAATTGCTCTTCATACAGAGAATAAGAACACGTTGAATCTCCACTCTTATCAGAGATGGTGTTGGTTTTTTGTTCAGTCGTTAAGTCGTTTCCAACTCTTCGTGACCCCATGGACCAGAGCACGCCAGGCCCTCCTGTCTTCCACTGCCTCCCGGAGTTGGGTCAAATTCATGTTGGTCGCTTCGATGACACTGTCCAGCCATCTCATCCTCTATCGTCCCCTTCTCCTCTTGCCCTCACATTTTCCTAACATCAAGGACTTTTCCAGGGAGTCTTCTCTTCTCATGAGATGGCCAAAGTATTGGAGCCTCAGCTTCAGGATCTGTCCTTCCAGTGAGCACTCAGGGTTGATTTCCTTTAGAATGGATAGGTTTGTTCTCTTTGCAGTCCAGGGGACTCTCAAGGGTCTCCTCCAGCACCACAATTCAAAAGCATCAGTTCTTTGGTGGGCAGCTTTCTTTATGGTCCAACTCTCACTTCCATACATCGCTACTGGAAAAACCATAGCTTTGACTATGCGGACCTTTGTTGGCAAGGTGATGTCTCTGCTTTTTAAGATGCTGTTAAGGTTTGTCATCGCTTTCCTCCCAAGAAGCAGGAGTCTTTTAATTTTGTGGCTGCTGTCACCATCTGCAGTGATCATGGAGCCCAAGAAAGTGAAATCTGTCACTGCATCCATATCTTCCGCTTCTATTTGCCAGGAGGTGATGGGACCAGTGGCCATGATCTTAGTTTTTTTGATGCTGAGCTTCATGCCATTTTTTGCGCTCTCCTCTTTACCCTCATTAAGAAGTTCTTTAATTCCTCCTCACTTTCTGCCATCAGAGTGGTATCATCTGCATATCTGAGGTTGTTGAGATTTCTTCCGGCAATCTTAATTCTGGCCTGGGATTCATCCAGTCCAGCTTTTTGCATGATGTATCCTGCATATAAGTTAAATAAGCCTTGTCGTACTCCTTTCCCAATTTTGAACCAATCAGTTGTTCCACATCCAGTTCTAACTGTTGCTTACTGTCCCACGTATAGATTTCTCAGGAGGTAGATAAGGTGGTCAGGCACTCCCATTTCTTTAAGAACTTGCCATAGTTTGCTGTGATCCACGCAGTGAAAGGCTTTTGCGTAATCAATGAATCAGAAGTAGATGTTTTTCTGGAACTCTCTGGCTTTCTCCATAATCCAGCGCATGTTGGCAATTTGGTCTGTAGTTCCTCTGCCCCTTCAAAATCCAGCCTCTACTTCTGAGAGTTCTCAGTCCAGATACTGCTGAAGCCTACCTTGTAGGAATTTGAACAGAACCTTGCTAGCGTGTGATATGAGTGCAATTGTGCGGTAGTTGGAGCATTATTTGGCACTGCCCTTCTTTGGGATGGTATCAGTGGCCAAATTTATCTAAATTTATTATAAAATGTAATCTGGTTGTAATTTAAAATAAACAAAAAACTTTCCCCATCTCTTCTCCGAGGCTGCATATTAAATCAATACTAGCAAATGGCCTAGATTGTTAGTAGATGTTTCACTGCTTGGAGTATAAGGTTGGGAAATGGAGTTTTAAGGGAAGAGTATCCGATTTAATGGCTGCTTATTCCTCATAAAAAAAGGGGGTGGGTCTATATTTTTAAAAAATCTGCAATCTGCATATGCTGATTTATAAATGTAGGTGCATATTCAGAAATAATTGCTATAATATGAACAAAATACACCATATCTCAGTAGGGAAACTGTTGTATTAATACTACTTGCAAAAAAATAATCTGAGGCCTCTAAATCCCATTTACAGTAGTTATTTTGGTTCTATGTCTTGAAATCAGATGGGGACTAGACAGGCCTTTGAACAAGACATGGTAGAACAGTGGAGTGTCTTCAGGGCTAGATCAAGGCATTTTGCTGCCTAGGGTAGCACACTAAGTGGTGCGCTGGCACTCGAGTCAAACTGCCCAAAGCTAATCAAGATTGCAGTGCTTCATGAGTTGGAAAATGTCAGTGTGGTCTCCCCAATCCCTGGCAGTAGAACAACATATTGACTAATTAAGGATGTGATCATACAGAGAAATCTATCGCAATCTAGACTGCTTCTGAAGCGGTCCAGTGTGATCTTTTCTCCAGAAATCACACAACGGATGGGGAAATGTGCTTCAGCAACCACCCCAAACTGTCCCAAAGCTAGGCCTTTTTTTGGTCCAGCTGTAACGCTTCTGTAAGGCTTTTGAAGGCTGGTCTGGAGCAATTACCTAGCCGACAGAAGGATCCCTTTAAGGGAAAGTGCTCCTATTAAACCTACACTTTCTGGTCCAGTCAGACACGTGCCTTCATTGCAGTCTGATAACACCCTAAATAACCATTGACTGTCCTGTCAGGGATCTTCAGATCTGTTGCCTGCTGTGGCTACATCATTTCCCCCGATTATAAGCCTTGTCCTGGTGTTTCTCTGGTAGCCTTTCAAGCTGAGGATTGTGAAGGAGGTCCAGAAAGTCAGTGCTGGAACTTACTCTGAAATCCCTCTTCACAATAGGCCAACATGTGGACTCCAGTGGCAGTAGTTCTAAAGAACGCAAGGTAATTAAAAAGGGTGCCTCTGATAATGTCTAAATGGCATGTCCAAAACCAGAAAATCATTCTGAAACATTAAGGTTGCAAAGTTGACAGCTTCCCCTTCCCTTACTGTTTGAGCCCAGCTCCTGAGATCTGGAGAATGGACCTTAAACCTGAATCTCAGGGATCCAGCTTGAGGCCTAGCAACCTCACAACTGGTACAAAGGCATATTCCTTCCTTCTGCTCATACACCATTTGCATGTTTTAAAATCAGAAATAGACTCCCCCATTATGATTGGACTGCCACTGGGTTCCCAATGGTGAGAGAGGCAGCATGTATATATCCCAGTGTGTGTGTGTGTGTATGTATATGTATATGTACATGTATATATGTATATGTGTGTACCTGTATATGTATATGTATGTGTGTGTGTATATATGTATATGCATATGTATATGTGTATGTGTGTACCTGTATATGTATATGTATGTGTGTGTGTATATATGTATATGCATATGTATATGTGTATGTGTGTACCTGTATATGTATATGTATGTGTGTGTGTATATATGTATATGCATATGTATATGTGTATGTGTGTACCTGTATATGTATATGTATGTGTGTGTGTATATATGTATATGCATATGTATATGTGTATGTGTGTACCTGTATATGTATATGTATGTGTGTGTGTATATATGTATATGCATATGTATATGTGTATGTGTGTACCTGTATATGTATATGTATGTGTGTGTGTATATATGTATATGCATATGTATATGTGTATGTGTGTACCTGTATATGTATATGTATGTGTGTGTGTATATATGTATATGCATATGTATATGTGTATGTGTGTACCTGTATATGTATATGTATGTGTGTGTGTATATATGTATATGCATATGTATATGTGTATGTGTGTACCTGTATATGTATATGTATGTGTGTGTGTATATATGTATATGCATATGTATATGTGTATGTGTGTACCTGTATATGTATATGTATGTGTGTGTGTATATATGTATATGCATATGTATATGTGTATGTGTGTACCTGTATATGTATATGTATGTGTGTGTGTATATATGTATATGCATATGTATATGTGTATGTGTGTACCTGTATATGTATATGTATGTGTGTGTGTATATATGTATATGCATATGTATATGTGTATGTGTGTACCTGTATATGTATATGTATGTGTGTGTGTATATATGTATATGCATATGTATATGTGTATGTGTGTATATATATGTATATGTATATGTGTGTGTGTGTATGCAACCTCCCAGATATTTATTTATTTATTTATTTGTATATATAAATATGACCTGCAGTCATGTTTAGTGAAACTGATGATACAGGAATTTTTCCCAATGGGTAGAGGCAGAGCTTAATTTTCCCAATTTACAAAAAAAGGCAATAAATCAATCCCCCGGAATTACCACCCAATCAGCTTACTGGATATCAGCTCCAAGCTTTATACTCGCCTTCTTTCCCAGAAGCTGAGTAAATGGATGGAGGAAAATAATATCCTTCACCAGGAACAAGCAGGTTTTAGGAAGGGACATAGCACAGTAGATCAAATCTACGTGCTACATCATCTTCGGTGGCTGGGCAACTTTAGTTCAAAGCCTACTAAAATCTAAATCCCTCTCTACAGATATTTTCGTTTTTTCGGGGGTTAAAAGAATGTTGAGAGACTGGCTCTATAAATTGGATAACGACCAGGACCTGGCCTTAATTCACTCTTCAGGTTTCTCTCACTGGTACCATCTGCTGAAAACAAACAACTCAAGGACACAATACTTACATACACTCACTTTTGCCTTCTTGAGAACTGCAAAATCTAAATCCCTCTCTACAGATATTTTCGTTTTTTCGGGGGTTAAAAGAATGTTGAGAGACTGGCTCTATAAATTGGATAACGACCAGGACCTGGCCTTAATTCATTCTTCAGGTTTCTCTCACTGGTACCATCTGCTGAAAACAAACCACTCAAGGACACAATACTTACATACACTCACTTTTGCCTTCTTGAGAACTGCTTTCACAGAACTCCGCTTCCAAACCATGCCAACCGCTGTCTTAGATGGCAGGTATATGAGTGTCCCTAAACATCTAAGGCTGTGTATCTGCAGAGCAGGTGAGATAGAGGATGTTCTCCATTATTTACTCTACTGTCAGTTATATCAGAACCCCCGAGAAAAGCTCCTGGGTAACATTTTGGCTGCTCTGCAGGAGGAAAGCCCTCAGATAAAAGTGGTCAGGTTACTCTTGGATTGTGACCCTTATGTTACACATAGAACAGCGCTGTTCGCAAAAGCGGCCAGAAATATTCGAGCTAATTTTCTGAAAGCCATTGCGATCAATTGTGTGGGAGATTCCCAGATATGCAGGGTCTCTTATTATTTTATATGTCTTTGATTGTATCATGATTTTATTTGACCATATCTGTATTTTAAACAATTGTGACGGCTTTTAGCTAATACAGTAAACTTGAACTGAACTGAACTGAAGTTCAACTTCTTGCTAATAGTAAAAAAATTAAATGTAACTTCTGGATTTTTCTCCTTGTATGTCACTTCATTTGCTGTGCAAAGGGGCATTACTACCACCCCCTCAGAACATCACAATTCTGTCCACCAATATGAAGCATTTGCTGCTTTGGAACCCTGTGATTGTACCTGGAGAAGATGTAAAATATTCTGTCGAATTTCAAGGGTAATTTTTATTTGGTTTCTCTCCCCTCTCTGATCTTATTGACTGCAAACAAATTGGTGTGGATCAACTGTTGTCTTGATGTATACTACAGGTGTTGTGCGGGGGTTTTATTGTTCTTGTTCTGTTAAAGGGGAACATTGTAGTGATAAAACTATGTATATGTTTTGCATGCATTGCATTTCTAAACTGTTTAGACTTTAGACTATGAAGAGGAGAAGGAGCTAGTTAAGAACAGAAACAAAAAAAGTCGTCAGAAAGAGCAAGAACAGGAAAGTCATCTTCTGATGCAAAAGTGTTCAAGAGGCAAAGTTTTCTGCAGAAAAAGCTACAATGCATTTACCCCCTCAATGTTTCTTCCCCCCCCCCAGGGAATATGAGAGAGATTATGCCAACGACAGTTGGATTTCCATTGGAGAGTGCACAAATATCTATATTACTCAATGTGACATCACAGAAGACATTTCCGCCACCGTGCCATACAATCTTCGTGTGAGAGCTGCTCTGGGGACACAGGCCTCTCACTGGGCCACTCTCAATGACCTCTTCAACCGCATCACAAGTGAGGATGATCTTACACTTTGCCAATATTATGGTTGTAATGAGCAAATTCTTGACTTCAGTTTTTGCCAAGATCCAACCTAAAAATCGATCAATCAATCAATCAATCAATCAATCAATCAATCAATCAATCAATCAATCAATCAATCAATCAATCAATCAATCAATCAGTGCCTGGCATCACAGGACCATTTCCATGAAACCAGCACCCTGTCCTGGTCCATTGATCAATCAGTCAATCAATCAATCAGTGCCTGGCATCACAGGACCATTTCCATGAAACCAGCACCCTGTCCTGGTCCATTGTAAAGCAGCCAGGTTACAGACTATATGCCCCATCAGCCCTAGCCAGTATCTTCTTTTCTGTCTGGTGAGGCAGTTTCTGAGGTTGCCATTGTAAACTAAAATATATTAGAATGTATTCAGAGAAATGAGAACAAATGCAAGGTTATACCCCATAGAGATGTGAGGCAGGAGGCATCATCTATGCAATGGCCCTCACAAAGTTAGCAGAAATTATCCTTGGAGAAGTCAGGTTTAGCTCTTCTTGGGTTGGGGTCCAAGGTTGGGCCAAGGTCAACTTCAGTCTCAGATAAATTATTAAGATCCTTAGCAGAGTGAAAAGCTATTTACATATACAGTATTTTAACTCACAGTTCTTACTGCCAGCAACAAAGCTTTGGGGAAACTATTTCAACCTTGTATGATTGTCAAAATACCTGTATAAAAATTGGGACACCATCCAAAGATGATGATGTGGAAAAGAGATTATCTGGGGAACTGCAGACGATGTGGATTGGGACCCTAAAAAGACATATTTAGTCTGGCGTTTCCCACTTCAGATTAACTGCCTACCCTAGTCCACAAAAGTGCATATACTATGATAAAACTGGTTAGCCTTTAAAGTGCCCTCCTTCACCGACCCATTACTGGGATATTCCAGTCTGACACTTAGAAGGCATCTATGCACACTGCCCAGTGTCCAGATAAGACTTGTCTAGCAGCAGCTGAACCTGCCTTATGAATAGGAGTGAGCGGAGTAGTACAGACAGAAACATGGATGCACGTTGGCCATAGGAGCCAAAGGTGTGTGTCAATTGAGGACCTGATGGAGCAAGAAGGCAGGCTGGCTCTTGCACCAGAGAAATGGGATGTGCTGGCATTATTACCTGAAACATTATGCCACGAGGAAGGAACATTTGGAACATTCAAGGGGAAAAAATGAAATGTTCAAAGCCATTTAACAAAAGAGGGAGGACAAATTAGGACATCAATTTACATCCATTCAGTTATCTTATGTTTTCTCTACTTAGGGTTCTTTATTTTTAAACCCCACTTGGACTGGACTGCTCTCAATAGAACAGGGGTGGGTTGTTTTTGTGACCTCTCCCAGCATTCCCTTGGCCATCTCTTTTTCTAACAAGAAAAATGAAATCCTCAAAAGCCTCCAGGAGAGAGGGTGAAGGGATAGATAAGCCACAGGATGCCCTTAGACTTTTTCTAAAGCCAGTTTTTTCCCACAGCATCCCTCACCCCACCTACGTTAACTGTCACAGCAGATGGATATCATTTGCTAGTGGAGCTAGAACCTCTTGGCCCTGCCTTTGAATTCTGGATATTTTACTGGAGAAAGGGACGAGAACACCAGGTAAATATTGGTCAGGGGGACTGGTCTGAAAATGTGAGTTGGCAACACATTGTGGAATTGTGAGAAAATGTATATTGTGTCAATTTTGGATTTTTAATAGGAATATGTGGCAGGAAAAAACATAATTTAAATAAGATGCAAACACACTGCCCTAAACTTAAAAAAATCCTTTTAAAATGTGCCTCAGAGAGGTGCCTTAAAAGTTAAAGTATCAGTGAAAAACTACAGCTGGGAACAAAACCCAAACATGTGCATTTTGTTAGTACACAAATAATTAATAAAATAAGATGGCAGAAGCAAGTTCGTTGAGTTTTGTGATGAAAAAGCAAACAATTATGCTTACATTATGTGAACAGAGACAAAGAGAGAAAAAATGGAGTACTGATAATTTTGTCTGTTGAGTTACGTTTGCCTATAAAATGTAAATTAGCAAAGAAATAGATGTGGAAATCTGTTTAAAACCAATTAGGGTATAAATCTATTGTAAAATAGAAGCTTTTACCAAAGAGTGTAAGAGGAGTACAAGATGAATGTTATTTTAAGTAGTTTGCTCCTTGATAAGCAAATAGAAAAGAAAAAGAAAAATGGCATTCATTTTGTAAAGCTTCAGCCTCAAAAAAAAAGTAATAATTTCTTAGTTTTGTGTGGTAACAATGAGGAGTAGGAACTCATATAATATTCTATAACATTTATGAATGAAACATTTTAAATGTAAAAGCATCTAACAGCAATTCAGGATGTTCTGCCCAAATATGGTTTTAAGGAAGTTACTCCAAGCTACTCGCCATTTTCCTGGCTAGTAGCTGCCTCAACATGTAGGTCTCCCGGCTGTTAGATATCTCGTACCCAAGGGAACCCAACTCTTTGACAGTTCATATACCTGGGAGAGCTAAAGCTCTCGTGATGTTCTGAATTAACTCAAAAATTCAACAATATTTAAATAGAACCCTCTGTCATGTTTATGGAACATATCCGAAAGGATGAAAACATCTCACAGAAAATATAACATCTCAAAGGAGAACATCTCCCACCACGGCCACCTGCTTTTTGCAAACAAGTGAGAAGATGCATATAGATTGAAAGCAGCCAGGCTCAGAGATAACAATGGGAATAACATAAAGATGAGTGAGCTTTTCTCTTTTAAAGAAAATATTTTTCTGTGTGTCAGCTACATGCTTAGAGCTAAATAATGCTTTTGTGTATTTTCTTATTATAAGAACTCTGGTGTTCTTTAATGTAATTTTAAGTAAGCTTTTAAAGTTATATTCCTTTTTAACTTTTAAATGAAATGTTATAAAGATGTCTTCTCTGCCATTATGGGCTATGAGCTCCTGTGTTTTGCTGCTTTTGTATTTTGATTCAAACAGGAGTAAATTCTTGTCTGGATTTTGGATAGCTATAATCTTACAATTGAGATGTATTTTCTAAATTAACTATTTGTTCAACAAAGCTTCAGTTTTTATGGATTTCTAAGTATTTTAAGACTATTATTTTTGCATGTCTGTATGACTTTTGGAATTAAGCATACAGTATATGGATTTCTAAGTATTTTAAGACTATTATTTTTGCATGTCTGTATGACTTTTGGAATTAAGCATATGCGCCTACAGTTTTTCTTCACAACTGTAAATCTGACTTGGAGAGATTTTTGACTTTGCTACTTTTAAGCATGGAATCTAGAAGTGATGTAAATAAATAGAACTAGCACAAAATTAACAAGATATGGAGTGGCCTGGAATAATTGCAACAATGACGAAACTTATAATGAGCTATCCAGATGGTTCACCAACAGCTTGTGACTGATTATTTGGTTTTGTTCTGTATTAACCCATTTACTGTGATATCAGTATGACGAATCATAGAATCTGTTCTCTTTGCCTCGGAGGTCTGTAAATTTTATAGGACTCCATTTGCCCAAATTAGGATCTGACAGCATAGAGAGCCCCCCCTCCCACTTTCCTCATTTATGAAGGTTTCATTTGCAAGACAAGATTAGAGCTACAGGGCAATTAGATATGCCAGTTGCAAGATGTTCAGGGATCCATATGATTTTGCTGAATTCTGTTTAATGGCTGGAATCCTGTCATAGTTACGTAAATGGCATAATGTTTGAAAGTGAATCGCTGTAAGTTAAGAAATCTCTGTAGGCATAATCAGTTGCACACCGAGGTGTGTGCCCTGATATGCAACAGATAATACATATGGAGATTTTTTAAACTTCTGGCAATTTTTGTCTAAAAGTTATGCTTTTTGTGTAACTGCACAACAGAATTTTAGCCAATTGGTTAAAAAGTTTCCTTGCACAGGAACAAGGCGGTATAGTTAGGCCTTGTTCTGCCAAACAGGAATGGCCGAGCAGTATCCACCAGCAAGACTCCTCATTTACGGCCGGTTACTCTATTGGCTAGGGATGATTGGGGGGGGGGCTGTAGTCCAAAACACCTGAAATTACTCTGGTTTTGGATGAATGACCTTCAGCCTTGGAAATCTCTTTCATCCTGGACTCTTTTTTCACTTTGGCCATTGTGAAATCAGGTGCACCGCAAAGTGGTGAGAGAGAGTGGTACTGCTGTACATCTGGAGACCATGGAGGCTGAAGCTGAATACTGTGTTAAGGCCCAGACATATGTTGAGGCCATCAACCGAAGCAGCAATTTCAGCGATGTGCAGTGTGTGAAGGCCAGAGGTAAGGATAAACAGGTACTGTAAACATGAGACTATAGAATGAGAGGTGGCATTCCAGACCAACCAAATCCTCAGCAGAATATTGCCCAAACCCTGCTTAAGTTCTTCCAGTAGGGGAAGGCCCGCCTTGCTGATTTCATTATTACCCTGTTCTTTCAGCCCTTCCTCATAGCACTTGTTTTTCATACCCTGTGGGACCCCACAATTAAGGCACCACGGGGCCGAAACATTACCCTGTTCTTTCATACTATTTTAGTTACCCTCCCATGAACCCATCCAAATTGTCTGTATCCTTCTCGGCCTGTTATACCCAAGCATTTTTCTCTTCTAAAGGGATAGGTCACTTATATATGGAACTTGGGAAAAGTACCGTACTTGTTTGGACTGACTCTAGGGATTCCTTCACTGAGCATGGGGAACCTACCTCAATGCAATGTACTGTGGCAACTGCTCCAGTCCTTAGATATTATCAGTGGAAAACTCCAGATTATGGTCTCACCGCCTTAATTACTAATCTCTTTTAACCTCCAGATGGAAAACCCCTATGGATGACATTTGCCCCACTCTTCTTAGTCATCTTTCTTGTATCTGTTTTGGGCCTTTCTTGGGTCACCTGGAAAATCTGTCTGATCTGCCGGTATTCCTGCTGCCCAAATGAAGGCATGCCAGACACTTTGGTAAGGAATGCTTTGGAATGCTTTGGCTGTGCTTTGATTCTGTTACTCCAGAAAACTTAGACATGGTTGGCTTGTCCCTCTATTGAAGGTTGACTGGGGAGATTCAGAACAGAACAGACAGCACCTCTACACACGTAGCTTCTAGTGAATGCAGTTCTAGCCTCCAGGCTACTCACATAATTGGCTTTAAAGGAGGATAAGACTAATTCACAGAGTGTAAGATTATCAATGTTACTAAGCCATGGCGAATACATATTACCTCCAGTTTGTTGTTGCTTTTTGCCAAGTCACCTCCAATTTATGATGACTCTAGGAATGGGTGATCTCCCAAATGTCATGGCCTCAGCAGCCTCGCTCAGCTCTTGCAAATGCAAGTCTGTGTGTTCCTTTAGGGTGCCAATCCATCTTGTATTTAGTCTTTCTCTTTACCTCCAGTATCAGCAGTAGTATGACTCCGGCTGCCAATGGCTGGCAAACATGAGTGGGAGTGTGGTATGGCACACTCAGATTTACCACCATGTGAATAGAATGTGGATTCGTTATTCAGCTGGGCTGATCAAGCTTTTCTAGAGTTTACGACAGTGTATCTGTGCTTGCTGGAGCTGATGCCTGGAATGTATGACCAAGGACCAGTCTTTCATCACTGTTAATGTTTCCTAAGAAAAAGTAACAAAAGGGATCTATTTTAGTTATTTCAGAAAATGTGATACTTAACTTACTTTTGAAAAAAGTAATGATAACAGTGTTGATGATCTGCTTTGAGGAGCTTTGGAAATATGAAGGCAACTTATCACTTTTTTAAATGTCTAAGCTTAGGTGGCTGAGTAGCTCATTAAGGGCTTGATCACACCTGCCAAAATAACTCCAGTTATACCCTTTGGGCCATTATTTGGATAGTTTCAAAAACTTTCCTTTCACATACTGCATGGCTAACATTAATTCATCTGCCCCAACAATCGATTTATTTCCTCCTAGGAGGGTAGTTTTAAACTGTACCGATGATGTATCACTTCATTCCTTATTGTTTCAGCATGTGTGAACATTGCTGTCGATTTATTTTCTTTGTGGTGGTGTGGCCACTTCATGGCCACTGCGCTTGTACCCTTTTCTTTAAAAATTTTTAAAGGAATATCAGTAAATCACTAGTAGCAGCCACCACTGCCACACAACATGAATACATTGCTCAGAAAGAGTCAGTTCAAAAGGAGACAGCCTTTGCCCCTCCCTTTCAGACAAAAGAGGGCTTGAAATGGGACATTTCCTGCTTTGAATTGTAAAGAAAGGGGCATAGCATTGATGGCTCCTCTCTTTAAAAAAAACATGCTCTGCACAATATTTTGCAGTTCTTTCAAAACCTGCTTCCTCCTCCCAACACTGTGTAAAAGGGAAAAGAAAAATGAAAGCCAAGAACTGAAAGGGAGAGAAACAGTTATGTGAAAAACATCCTTTTTGAATTCTATAGTTTTATGTCTCAGGGCATAATAAATATCATCTAGTTCTTAGGTAAATACAACCTCAGATGAACAACAACTCATGACATATTACACTGTATCATGATTTATTTTACAAAAATAACGTAAAAATTGAGATGCTGAGAGTTTAATTTCTCACTGCGCATCCCAGAAAAGCCAGCCTGTGTGGCCTTGGGCAAGCTGCAGAGTTCCAGGATACTCTCAGAAGAAGGGAATGGAGTACTCTTTACCTAAAGAACTCTGGAAAGGATTTCCATGAATTAGATGTGACTTGACAGCACACAATTGTTATTATTGAGTGACATCTCTGCAATGGATTGAATGCTTCTCTGTCTTTTCCCTGATTAAGCTTTTTTCCCTCTCCCCCACCCCCTTCCTCCAGAAACTAACAGGATCGACTGCCAGGATGCTACATTACGGGGCAGAGGAGACAGAGAAGTGTAATGAGTCTGTGCAAGTGCTGGCCCCTAAAGAAGTTTTTCTCCTTTGTGACTCATGAAAACCTTGAACATCACACTCCAGAGTCAAACTGCAGAATAAGAATAGAGTGAGACTGACTTCTTCTGTGCCACGCTGAACTGAGCACATGGTTTTCCTTTACTGAGAAGGAACAAGATTAAAAAAACAAACAAACAAAAAACAGGAAAGCAAGAATGTCTTTTCTTCAAAGAGAAAAGTGCCACACAGCAAGCAAGACCACAGGCCCTTCTGCTAAGGGTTTTATAAAGAGACCAGAGATTATTAATTTTTTCTTCTTCTGTATTTGACAGAGAAAAGCTGATGAACACAATAACCTTTTACAGTCACTTTATCTGCTTAGCTAAGCTTTAAAGGCACTTGATTTATTCAAGTATGTGTGTGCATGCACGTACGTGAACACATGTTGCAAAATTTTGAATTTCTGGTAAAATTCATTGTGCTACACAGTAGAAGTACAGAGACTCACAGAAGACAGTAGCTTCAAGTTAACCCAAATCCACCCCTTTCTCATTAATTGGCACTTAACTGTCATAATAACTCACTCAGACATTTGTAGGAGAAAGAATAAAAAACCTTTAATTACTTACAATGTTAAACAGATCAAGAGCAAACTAAACAACAAATATTGCTTCCAACAGACTAAAGCGAGGGAAAGGAGCACTCAGCCAAGAGACGGGGCTCTCTTTGAATTCAGAGATGGAAAGAATGACTGGTTAGTGCTGGATAGACTGACAGTCACCCTCGCTCAGAAAGGTCTCTCCCAGATGGCACAGAACCACAGATAGCATGCGAGGTTTTAAAAATTCCACCAGTGCATTCATGTGTGTGCATGTACCTATTAACACAGAAGAATAATCTTGGAAGTAAACACACGTCTAAACCCATGCTGATTTTCCAGGAGGGTCTCTAAGCAGAACGAGCAGGTAGGAATCTATGGAGGGAAAGCAGTTTGTAAATTACTTTGTTTATGTGCAGACTGCATCAGCTTCAGTCCATGGCAACTCCTCTTAAGAGAAACAGATTGTAAGCAACATTGCCTTTAAGGGTCAGGATGGGGTTTCCGCTGGTGGGAAATTGAATATAATTAAACATTCAATTGCATTCAATTTTCCACCAGCAGTGAGTGGAAACCCCACCCCACGTGCGCGGGATTCCAACTGCAAGCAGAACCAAATGGGCGGAAACACTGGCTGTGGGTGCTCAGCCCTGACGCGATGCTGCGTGGCAACACAGCTTGCAGGGAATGTTCATTGGAGATGATGAGAAAAAATATTCCTGCCTGAGGTTCTGGAGACCTGGTCATAGACACTACCAGGCTGCTTATGTAGAGTGGACTCCCGTATCTGCCCCAGTAAGATCTCCAACAAAATTCCACATGAGGGCAGAAAATAATGTAGAAACGGGACTTCTTCTTTATTACAGTACATCATTAGGATGTAATTTGGGCACTAACCTTCATGTACTAATTGATGTTAAGAGTCAGAAGGGTTAATGAATATGCAGACTTTTCCCATGCATATCTCAAGCTGGAGAAAGTCAAACAATTACTGTACTGTCTTGAATCCAGAATGTCAGGCTGAAATAATACTACTCTTTCAGAAAGACATCAAAGATTCCAAAGGATGGCATAGCTTAGGATACATTAGCAGTGACTTTTAGAGATACAGTACAGCCATGCTATATAATAATTACAGTATAATGCTGATTCCACCTGATGGTTATCCTTTCCAGGGTTTTCTTGATATCAAGTACAATATTATAAAGTGGTTTACCATTGTCCTGGGGGTTGTTTGTGACCATGTACCTTACCTCAGGCTGCACTGATGGTTTCTTCTCCTAGGAGGCACAGTGAGGAATTGGGCTCCTGACCTTTAAGCTCTGCACCCAGGTACCCAACTGACTGAGCTAAGCAGCCATCTATATGTAACTGCAAATCAGTTCAGAGAGAGAAAGCCCTCCGTTTATGTATAGATTCCAGAATCAGTTACAAAACTTGGCAACACGGAGGTTGTTTGCTTGATTCTGGAGTAAGTGATTCTGTTTCTAGCTTGACTGTATCGGGCAAGAAAAAGAAAAGAAAGAAAATAAAACATTGCAGCAATTTACTCACTGCAAATTTTAATGCGAGCTTTTGTGGACACGTCCACTTCCTCAGACATCGGAATGGGAATACATGGCAAATATTGAAACATTTATACATGGCCCCAAAACAGAGACTGTAATTGGACTCTGTTCCCAAAGCTGCCTATTCCAGTTTCTGTATCTGATTAGGCTAAACCTGGCCATATTTTCAAGTCAATTAAAATGCTTATAACAGAGCTGCAGTTTGCAGCTTTAAAAAGTTCCATCCCTGGATCAGATTTTAAAACACTGGCTATAAATAGGGTCACTGCTTTACGGTGGTTCCGCTCCTTCCTGGCTGACCGTGTCCAGAGGGTGGTGCTGGGGGACAGTTGCTCTGCCCCATGGCGTTTATGTCATGGGGTTCCTCAGGGCTCAATACTGTCCCCCATGCTGTTTAACATCTACATGAAACCACTGGGAGAGGTCATCAGGAGGTTTGGGCTGAGAAGTCAGCAATATGCTGACGACACTCAGCTCTACCTTTCATTTTCCACCAATCCAGGTGAGGCAGTTTCTGTGCTGAACTCGTGTCTGGACCTGATAATGGACTGGATGAGGGTCAATAAATTGAAACTCAATCCAGACAAGACGGAAGTGCTGTTAGTGGGTGCTTCACCGGACAGGTTGGAGGGCCATTTCCCTGCCCTGAATGGGGTTACACTCCCCCTAAGGGACAGGGTCCGCAGCTTGGGGGTGCTCCTGGACCCCAGT